GGGGGCTGGTGCCCGCAGCTTGGCCCGGCCGAGCAGGGGCTCTCCCTGGGGCGCCCTGGCCGCCGTCTGGGTGACGCAGCGCCCTCGTGGGGAGACCTTGGGGCTGTGCAGCCGGCCGCCTCGGAGTTGTCCGGCGCCTGCCGGCTCTGTTCCCGCCTGGCGGCCTCTCCCGGGCCCACTCCGGGGCCGCGTCGGCCCGCCGGGAGCCTCACGCGGCCTTCCCCTGGGAAGACTGCCCGGGCACCCTTGCAGAGGCCCTTCCCTTGAGCAGAGCCTTCCGAGGCTGGCGCGCCGCGGCGCCCGTCTGCACGCCTCACGCCAGAGGGTGACGGGGCCGGCCCCGGAGGTCCGGGCCCGGCCCGGCGCCTGACAGCGCGCGGGCCTTATCGAGGGAGGAGGCCGAGGAGGCCGTCCTGGTGTGTGTGCTGACAATGTTATCTGTGCTCTCCGTCCCGGCGTCAGATGTCTGTCACGAGTGCAGAAATTAATTTAGTGTCACCTGAAGACACGCAATTAATCTTTGAGAGGTGTTCATAATACCTTTACAGAGAGACTTGCCAGTTTGGCGGATTTGGATTTTGGGGTTTAGAAGAAGATAAGGAAAATTAATTTTTCATCAGGGTTAATACAAGCTAGCAGGGCCACAAAGGCTGAGGCAAACGGCCGGGGAATTTGTCAAGTGTTGTCACTCTGGAATAATGCTGCTTAGGTCTGATAGGTGTGATCAGGGGCTGGGGTTTCTATGGCGAGGGATTAGCACGTTGGCGCCCGCGAATGCGCGTCGGCGATACCACACTCCTCGTGGGGCTGCAGATGAAAATAAGATCTGATCTGTCAGGCCGCGGGAGCCCGCCGGCCAGCGGGCACTCCATCTGTGCGCTGACCAGTCCACGCGAGTGTGTCCCGCGGATGCTGCTGGCGGGCAGCCTCGTGTTTGGCGGTGACTAAGCCGAGAGTCTTCCTCGAGCCCGCTTACTTCAGGGAGTGCCTCTGGGTTTATGGCAAAGAAGGCGTTTTTGTTGTGTTTATGCAAACAGTCCTTTGTGGGGGGGACAAGAACCGAGGGAGACACCTCCGTCTGGCCTGAGGCCCACCGAACCTCTGGTCTCCCCATCTGTTCCCAAGCACAGGGCGGCTTCCCCAGCCAGCTTCCGGCGGGCCCTGGCGGGAGCAGGACCCCAGGCCCCTCTGAGCGGTCGGCACCCCCAGGGCGGGCCCTGCAGCGACCCTGCCGGTTTGAAGGTCTGAGCGGCTGGGCCTTCCTGCCCGTCACCGAGGCGGGCTGTCCCCGGGGCTCACTGGGAGAACTCGGAAATGTAGTTTCTCCCAAGGATCAGCTCCCCATGGTGCCGATTTGAAAGAGGAGATTCTCTCGCTTGAAAAAGCGGTTTTTTTTATACATGAAAAGTTGTCACTTACATTTAAGCCTTGAGTGCTTAGAGTGACTTTCAGAAAAATGCAGACGTAGCTTTATGCACAGTCACTGAGTTAAGATGACGTCATTGACTGTGGTCAGTCCCTTTTGTTTGAACTGGAGCTGAGCATTGTCCCCCAGGGGCACGCCTCGGGACCACTGAGAGGCACATCCCAGCCGCCACTCAGTGTCAGGACGCCCCCGCCCGCCCGCCCGCCCGCCTGTGCCCGCTTCTGCTCTGTCCTGTGGCCCAGGTGAGCAGGACTTCCGCCGCCACCCCGGACCTTGTGGGCTGGACACCGCCGAAGTGGCGCCCGGTGCCGTCGCGCGGCCTGGGGCTCCAGGCCTTGTCGTGGGGAGAGACTCCTGCTGGGCTGCGTGTGCCAGGTGGGGGGCAGGAGGTGGGCCCCGGTCCTCAGCGCCGAGGCTGCCTGGGAATAGGCGGGACTTTCTGTCACCAGCTGTGTCCTGGACTTCTCAAGTAAGGGTGAGAAGGGCGAACTTCCCTTGAGAGAATACAGGCTTGGCACTTCGCTTTCCAGCATTCTTACCCAGCATTGCTGTCCACCGTGAGTGACCAGTGACCGCCGCCGCCAGTGTCTGCTCCCCTTTTCCTGGACGCTGTTCCTCGGTGTGGGGTGTGGCCCGCAGGGGGAAGGCCCGTGTTGCAGGCTCCAGAAGGCTCCAGATTAAGGCTTGGACAGCCCCCGGGAAAGCCCCTGGGGTGCAGGGACGGAGCTGGGCCAGGGTCATTTGAAGAGAAGCGGTCAGTTTCTCAGCACTGAGTGGATGTCTATGCGTTTGCCAGGAGGGCGGTGTCCTTCCCCCACGGACGGGTGCGGGCCCTGCCCCTGGGGCTGCGAGCCGCCTGACTCCGTGGTGGGGACCGCGTGGTCGCGGGGTCCCTCTTCTGTGCCCTGGGTGGAGCCGGCTAGGAGAGTGTTGTGCGGCTTCTTCACGCGCCCTGCCTTCTGTGTCAGGGCATGCTGAAGGGGCCGCGTGCCAGCCAGACGCGGTCCTTCTGGCCGTCCCCCTGAGGGAGCGAGATTGCGGTCTCCTTTTACTGGACTCCCAAGGAATCCTCGGACCTGGTCTGTCTGTGTGGGAACTTCTTACTGCTCACTTCGCTCGGTGTCTTACGCTGTAAGGTTTTCGTCTGGTGCGTCGGTTTTGATGCCTCGTGTCTTTCATGGAGTCTGCCTGTTTCCTCTGGGGTCCCCACTATGCTTCCTCCCTGTAGGTCGGGGTGGGGAGCCCCTCATTCCTCATGTCAGCCCAGGTCTCTGGCGGCCTCTTGTAGTGAGTTCTGTCAGAGAGAGCTCTGCGACCTCTCCCTGCTCCCCT